TCACGCCTCAGACTCAGATGTGATTGAGGAAGGTGTTCGAGATGTTCGTCTTGGTGAGCTTGGAGGGCGGGGTCGTTTGGGTATTGATTATGGGCACATCTCAGAAGAAGACCCGGGCTGGAGTCAGCGCGGCTCAGCGGATGATGGAGCCCCCTCAGATGTGATGGAGGAAGGTGAGGAGTCCGACTCTGAGGCTTCTTCCACTAATGCTGTTTGTCAGATGGAAGACTGATTATTTTAGCTCACCAGCAAAGACTGCATAGAAGGCAGAGTGCCAGTGCAGAATCTGCCTGACAAGTGGCTGCCACCTCGGTGGTCTCGCAATCGTCGAGTGATATGGATGGACTGCTGTGTGCGGTACCAGAAAAACGAGAATCGAGTGAGGGTCTGCCAGTGCTGTATTTGATTGCTTGAGCATGAAGTCATGGTCTGCAACAACTATGCCACATGTGAATTTCAACGAGTGATGTCATCATGTCTGTCTCATCCTTGTGTTGTGATGGATCAATCGACTCACAAGTGTGTCAACTGCTGCATGCGCTGGTTCACAATTATGTTGTTAATTCGAACACTCTTGAGGTTAAGGTGTTACACTTTCCTGGGTAAGACAGAGTGCCATGGACAATGCAATTTCGAGTGCCATGTCTGCAGCAGCAGATGACCCGACTGAAACAAGAAGAAGACTGTTAGCAGACATTCGGCGGCAGTTTGATGCAAACATCGCACTGGAGAAGAGATTCTTGGCCATTTCGAGAGGACAGGATGTTCTGCGCCTTTGCGAAGTTGACCCGTCGCTTCTGGAGTTCCATAATGAAGGTCCTTATGAAGTTCTGCCTGAGTGCAACTATGATGTGATTCTTGAAGCCAGTGGGTTTTCCTGGATGATATCAATCTGGCAACAAATGTTATCAGAAACTTTTCCCATCATGACTTCGTGGCCATGGAAGAAACAGATGAGATTCCTCATCAACTTTTGTCATTGGAAGCGGAACATAAGGCAGAGTGCCAGGTTCCACTTCCTGGAGATCTTTGCAGGGCAGGGCAACCTCAGTCGGGAGATGCTCCGTGCTGGCTGGCAGGGGCTAGCCTTGGACATCAGGTACGGCACAGATCATGATATTCTTTCTGTGAGAGGACTTCGCCTGGCTGTCAATGCTGTGTGTCAAACACACAAACACGGCCTGGTGTGGTTTGGAACTCCATGCTCTTCCTTCGTCCAACTCTGTAAATACAGTACTGGAAGGTCCATTGCCAATGACTGGATGGGAGAACCTGAGCGATCGCTGGCATGCCAAGAAGGCAATCGTTTCATGTATGTGACGCTGCTGTTGACTTTGCTCGCGGCTTTGAATGACAACCGGTTTGTGATCGAGCAGCCTTGCTCCAGCATGCTGTTCGACATTCCACTCGTCGATCGTGTCATGGGAATGATCCAGGCTATGAAGGTCAAAACCTATGGTGGTGCCTTCGGCCAGCCCATCCTGAAACCGCTTCAACTGTGGAGCAACTGTCAGCACATCAATGGTATGTGGCGCAGCTATCCTTCCCATGTCAGAGGAAGTGCTGGTTGCGTTGATCGAGATGGTGAGAAGTTCACCGGTCGTCCTGAAGATCTTCAGCAGTCAGAGGAGTACACCCTGGAGTTCGGCAAAGCTGTTGCCTTTCATATGATGAGTGATGTCCCAACATGAATTGTAGGTGAAGGCAGAGTGCCAATAAGGCAGAGTGCCATAATTCTCTAGAGTTAAATGAGCTTGCTTCATCTTTCGACATTCTGTCTTGTTGGTATTCTGCTTTCCAATGTTGGGACTGGGTTGAGCCCTGGACCCCGTCCGTTCCCTCCACGAGGTGCCGAGGAAAATCCTCGCCGCCTCGTGGAAGGATCTGAGTGATCCGAGCTGGTGCAGCTGTGCAATGAAAATGTAGAGAGCTTCAGTCACTCCGTGATCAGATGTGTTTGTCGGTATTGTCTCAGTTCGTATGCTGCTGTCGTGCAGGTGGCAATGACCTGGCTGGTGTCTCGACCTCCAGTTGCAGGCATCGGTGGCCTGTGTTAATCATTCCATGTGGTTGTCAGTTCAGTGCCATCTGCGATAGTTTCCTGTCTCAAGTTCGAGTGACATGATGTGGCTGCTGACATGTCATCGTGAGTCTTTGGGTTGATTTCTTAAGAATTCAATGTGTTGTGAACTGGGGCTTGTTACACAAGTGCAGGTGTGTGTCAGTATTTAGTAAGATTCAAGTACAGTGTTGCTTTGGAGGATTTCGGTGATGCTTCTGAAACTGTGGGTCATGCTATTGCTCCGTGATGGGCAATTGCTTAACTTGGAAAATGATGCAAAACTGCCAGCGAGAGCAGCTTGGCTCTCACAGGGCGAACTGTGGTGGCGTCTGGACTTGTTTTTCGATGAGAGCAACAGGAACGGCTCAGAACGTCGACAGTACCACAAATGGTACAACTTCTTCAGTGATCTTCTCAGGAAGACCCCCTTGGCTGCGAACTGGGGGTCACATGTGCAAAGTCAAAAAGGCAGAGTGCCAAACCCTGATGCTGTGCAGGAGGATGTGGCATCTTCCACAGCCTTGGCCCGATTCATGTTGCAAGCATCCTTCGACACAAGGACAGACGCCCACAGGGAATGGTACAAGAGCAAACTGAATGATGCTATGGTACGTGTGTGTGAAACTATCAGTGATGAGCCTCTGGTCATGCAGTTGGATGAAGGCAGAGTGTCATGGTTTCTTCAATCAGCTGGGTTGGTGTCAGGCTTTGCCGCTTGGATGATGAAGTCGCTGGCAGGCAACACGTCCCGATCTTTGCGTCAGCTTTGGGAATCTATGTTCAATGCAAGGACGCTGTCTTCATCTCTCCGAGATGAATCTGAAGGCAGAGTGCCACGAGATTGGGAGGAGGTTGAAACTAGCATCTACGACATCATCGCCTTTGCAACCATGGCAAAAAAACACAGAGCGCTTCAACCGTCGGGGCAGGCTCATGGATTTGCCAAGACAGTCTTGAATGCCTTCATGCACATACATGAGTGTCTGTCCGAGACATTGTCAGCCGGCCTCCAGGTGTATGTCATTGGGCACTACTTGAGTGTACATGATGCTGGTGTGCCTGTGACGTCTCGCAGGGCACTTCTGGGCAAGCGTGTTCCATTGAAAAAGACTGTGGACATCAAAAGCATCTGGAAGTTGCTAGAGGGCGCTGCAAAAAGTGGGACCTCTTTGCGACAAGCCCTCATTCTCAAGAACCAGGACGAACGCAGCGACCTGCATGGTTCCTTGGTGATTTGATATGGAGTAGAATGTTGTTTTGTTAACCAGTTGTTTAAGATTAGTGAATTCTTTGTCACACATTCATTTGATGCCACGTACCCGCGCCACAGTCGAACTAAATTCGACTACCACTCTTGCCATGGCCGACCCGACGTTCGGCTCTTGCGCCAAGCTGTTGGCCAAGTCCAGCAGAAGGTACACAATGTCGGGGGCAGAAGTATCCGCTGCGAACTCTGGGATGGCACCACGACGACCACGACGTCCTGCTTCTTTGCGAGCAGAGGGCGACATAAGCATAGCGCGGGCAAATGCTTGCAGCTGCTAGTGGTCGTTGAGAGCCTTCGCCTGATATCCCCATGGCAGAGCGGGGTGACCCCATATCTCGGCCGAATGGGGGTGGCCTAAGTCTCCGGTCCGCATGACTGTCAGAGCACGTTCGTCTTTGCAAAGACGCCGGGGAGGCCGTTACAGAAAGGGATGCTTAAGTCAGGTTGTGCATTTAATATTTATGAAAGGCAGAGTGCCAGTAAAACTTCTAAGGGTTCAGGGTTTAGTGGTTTGCTGCGCTTGCTGTTGATCAGAAAATCCTTGTCGATTCGCTTGCCGGCATGTGGAGGCATGTGTGTGGCCGCTACCCAGGACTCGCTGTGTCTCGCACAGGGCTCTGAGGGAAGAACGTAGTGCAGGGCAACTTATAGTCGCACACCATTAGCCGGGGTCACTTCCCTGAGGGTTCGCTAGTGCAGGGCAGCTTGTAGTTCACACCGTTAGCCGGGTGTGGCGGGCCGCTGTTTGGGATTTTCGGGCTCTTGAGGCCAACGGGGATCTGCTGACCAGATCCCTATGACAGCAGGACACATGGGCTAACGTGCCTGCTGGGAGCCCCCCATTTATGTCTCTGCACGCTCTGGCTAGCCAGTAGTCAGTGCGAGATGATGACCCACTCGGTGGCAGCAGGGGAGGCTCTTGAACTGTTGATCGACCGAGTGCGCAACATGGAAGGCCGAATCGAGTGAGTAGTCATTAAGTGTCAGGTTGTGATCAAATTTATGAAAGGCAGAGTGCCAAAGGCAGAGTGCCAGTAAAACTTCTAAGGGTTTTTAGTAGGGTTTAGTGGTTTGCTGTGCTTGCTTTTGATCATAAACGTCCTTGTCGATTCGCTTGCCCGACCTAAACCTGAGCAGCGGGCTGGCCGAGGGGGCCCTAGAGACCTGCCAGGTTCCATCTTGTTGGCCGTGTTGGGGGCAGCGATCCATCCGGAGCTGAAAGCTTGGCCACTGACGCCTGCGTGGCCTCGTGGCGGCCACCCTTGGGGCCAACTCCCCTACAGCCCGAGGGGTATGACAGCAGGGCGATGCGCTAATGCGCCTGCTGGGGGTGTGAAAACGTAATCGGACTTTTCCACAACTCAGAGCCTGGTACGTAGCGGAGTTCTGCAATTCACAATGTGCTCCATGAAATTGGGCTCATGCCAAAATCACGTGTTAACACATGTAAACTGTTCAAGCAACGTGTGTACAAAGGGCAGGGATGTAATGTTTCATCACCCCGCCTGAGGTTCGCTAGTTGGCTACAGTACACTACGAAGCTCACTGAAACTCAAGTGAAACTCACTCCTCATCATGCCCTGTGCACCGCAAAGCCTGGCGCACGTAACACGGGCTCTCAGTTTTCACATGCCTGGCCACCGTAAAGGGAATTGGTGACCGCAAATGGCATCATGTCTGCGTGGTAGCATCACGCATTGCACACTGCCTTCCGTGAGGCATTTCATAGAACTCAAGTTGTATCATCGCGTTCTCGTCCCGCAATGAACGATTCTCGCGCTTCAGCTCGTGAAGCGCCCTCTTATCGTCCTTCTGCTCATCCCATAGAGCCGAACACAAAGCTCCAAGTTCTCGGACCTCAGTGCGCTCTCGATTGAGCGCACACCGAGTGCGCACGAGCAAAATGCTCAGTGCCACAAGTATGCACAGCAGCCCGCAAAGAAGCATAAAAGAAATCATATCATGGCTGCTTGACGTTGTCGTCGTTGTCGTAGTCGTAGTGGTAGATTCAATCTCCACATCACGAAAGAAACCGGCCGAAATTGACCCAAGGCCCCAAGCAATTGTCGCCATCATAACACAAGCGGCATACATTGCCCCACGACGGTACCACGGCCCGCCGGGTGCTGCAATATACAGCCATCCTTCATCACCACCATTGGCACCATGCTCTGCCGTGCTCTCCATTGCATACACTGCCATGTACATCGAAACAAGCACTGCAAGGAAGAAACATGCACTCATGTTGACACTTGTCACTGCACTCGCTTCCGCAGGAATCGGCATCATAAGCAAAAGCATTGCCACTCGCTTAACCCACGTGTTCGACATGTCATTGCCTGCCACTGTACGAACACGCTTGACCTGAGCTCGGATCGTCGCCGCAGTGCACGTGTGCTCCCACTCATTCTCCCCGATTGGCCTTGAGTGGCAGTCCACAAAGTCATGAAGAAACAGTAGAGTTCGCAATCGGCTTGGGGAAAGTGGCTTGGTGTGAAGGTCTCCTAAATTGAAGTGGGTCGAGATGTATTTCATCACCAGCCGCTTCTGCTGAACAATGTCCTGCAACCACAATAGCCGGCCCTCGAAATGCTTGCTGGCTTTTGTAACTCCCTGACGCAAACAGAAGGCCTTGCACGATTGGTTGTCAACATACAGGATCAGGTCGCAGGGGCTCCGGCTCATAAACTCGATCACAGCCTTCATGAACAGCCCCTGGCACGCGCTTCCCACAGCACTGTAGTACTCGCTTTCCATCGAACTCAAACTGATGCACTTCTGAGATCTACAGATGTAGTGGACATATTGTCCGTTCACACAGAAACTCGCTCCACCATATGATCGACGATCCTTCTTCGACCCTGACCAGTCGGCATCCGAAAACACCTCCAGTACATTACGCTCAGCGTCATCTGCACAACCAGAATCATACACATAACCGTTCAGTTTCCTTGTCCCAGGAGCGGCAAACTTCATCAGGATCCCATAATCACATGTGTTGATAAGGTACTGGATCAGCTTGATCAAACCAACCTTTGCATGCTCAGTCGGCCTCGCCATGTAGCTTGCAAGCATGCGCACAGCATAGCCCACATCGGGCCGGTCGCAAGATATGTATAAGGCTGTTCCCACTGCTTGTCGAAACTTGCTTGCATCGGTGTGGTTGAGCTCACGGGTGGTGTCCTTAGCACGAAGTTCACTCCAACATGGAACCCGTTGTCGGTTGTTTTGCGTGACATTCATGGTCTGCTTCATCTGCTCAATGTAGGAAGAGGGTTGCCGAATCACAAAACCCTGTTCTGTAATCGTATGCTCACGCTTGAGGAAACTGAAAGAATGACCCACCTCATATGCAAGCTCATACGTGATCTGAAATCGCTGTTCAATCACTGGAAGAAAGCACTCGCGGGCCCACTGGAGCGGCAAAAGAAGCAAGGAATCATCAACATGGATCATGCCCGGACCCTTGTCTGCACAAACTCCATCAGATCCTGGCTTGCTGCTGACATGCACTACCGCAGGGCACTCCTTGCACTTTTCAATCACGAAGTGCTCTCCGAGATACTCGCAGAAGTGTGAGAACCACTGTTGTGATCCTTCACGTTGCCCCGGAACCATTCGCATGAACACGAGGTCTTGACCTTGCACTTTGGAAACCACTGGCGTCGGCTGGGGAACCTCAAGGTATGCATCTTTCACGTCGAGCGCCAAAATGGCATACTGCTCGGATGGCCGCGATTGCTTCCAATTCAGCCACTGCGCCGGGATGAGGCGCACAATGTCCGTGCTTGTAGCAGGGCTAAACAACCCTTCTTTGGACTCATCCAACCACCGAAACTCCCGAGCACACAGTCTGGATCGGCGGTACCATGAAGGAACCCCATTCCGCTTCTTGTGCCGCCACGTTCGAACAAACTTTGTAGTGAGGCTCTTCATCGAACCCAGATCATCATCACTCGTGGCATGTCTTAGCACAGATTTCTTCAGCAGTCTGCTGACCTCAACTTGATCAGCAAGGTTGTCAAGCTCGGCCAAAATGGCATCATCGAGCTCTGGCTCCCTTCCATTGTCAGGAAACCACAGTCTGTCATCATCTTCGGCCACTTCCGCTTCGGGATTGGCCTTCACCTCATTCATGAAACTGTCGTCCGTCTCGGACTCCATGGACCACAGCTTGGTCTGCACTTCCCAGCCGTCGGGCTGGTCCAAATCAAACTCGCCTTCATCGTTCACTTCATAGGACTGCTCACCAAAAGTCACAGCACGAATGCGCAGCTTCTTCAACGGTGGCAGTTCTGCTTCAGGCGTGCTAGGTGGATCGGGCCTCATTGCAGGATTGGGCCCCGGAGGCTCAGCTTCAACACCAGCCATGCTCTCATCTGGAATTGCTCGAGCACTCTCAGGAGGAGGCACATTGCGCCTCGGTGGCGCCATTGCTCCGGCCCCGCCCAACGGCGTAACCGGCATCCCCAGTGCCTCAACTGCAGGTGTTGGAGGCTCGCTCGCAGCCTCATCAGGGGACCTTGGCGGTGCAACATCCCGCACTGGATCCACAGCCGCTGGCCGTTGCTTCGGCATTGCCACAAACTTGGTGCCTATAACACCACTTCCATAATCCCAAGGGTAGCCCTTCAGCTCACGATAGAGCTGCACTTCAAGCTCCCAAGGTTGACCCACACGGCGGATGGATCGTGACAGTCGTATTCCGTCCTTGCCAGCAATGATGTACATGTCGTTGAGCGAGGATTTGCTCACCAGGATTCCAAGCATCCACCGCTTGTCGCCTTTCTGCTTAACATCAAGCTGGCAGTAAACCGGTTCGGCGAACGGCGCAATTCGCCCACTGTACTTAGCCCCACAGGCCCTTTCATAGGCTGTCATGTTGCCAATCACTCTGTATCTGTTGAGCAGCCACGCACTGTGCACAAAAGCCCAGGCAAACAGAACATGCGTTGTAGGCAGGGGAAGGCCGGTGCGGTGACGAGCCTGATCAAGCAAAGTGTTTGCAAGCTTCCGCACCGAGTCAATGGCCTTCTCACAAAAGCCTAGGGAACCTTTGGCACCTATGGCAGGATTCTGAACAAGCGTCTGCAACCCGAGCCGTTGCCGAGCCGTGACGATAGCTCGCTGCAGAGTCAGAGTGGAGGGCTCGTTGTCGCACTTCAGGGTCACGGTGGTGTGACCGAGGCTTTGGATGAACCTCATAAGCTCGATGCCTAGGTACCTTGTGTCGCCTTTGGACTCACATGGAATCGCTGCGATCATGCCAGTAGCGCTGTCATGTGCCACAAGGCACTTAAGTGCACGCTGGGAGTCCTCAGGAGCTGCATCGAGGTTGCAAATGCCGTCTGGCACACTGTACCCTGAAAATGAAAAATCAAATTGAATAATTGGGTTGTCGCGGGGGCCCTCCTTCAAGTACTCACTCCGATCGGGCATTGCTCGCATGCTGATGCAGTGTGGGCACCATGGCTTGAAAGGCACGTGGGTGCACTCATGAAGGAATCGTTCTGCCTCGGTGGGCGCGGCTGCGACCGGTTGAACCCTGGGTTGCCTCTCACCTGAGGATTGAGCATCGGCAGCAAGCTCCAACTCTAAGGCCAAACGCTGCTTCTCAAGATATCCCTTGACACGGCTGAAGAGGCGGGACTTGGAGCCAGCCGTACTAAGGTTCAGCTTGGCTGCCGCAGTTTTCAGAACAGCTAGGCTGGAGTCATGCGCAATGAGCACACCATCAAGGCTCAGCGGCTCGACATTGTCGGTTGGCTCTCCAGCTTCCAACTGGTCGGGCAGTGGCATTGGCGCTGGGCTCGGTTGTCCAGCTGCATCCTCTAGGCCTTGCATAGCCTCATCATCGGGCACCACACGATCATGCTCAACTGTCCCGACAGGCGCTTGCTCAGTCTCTGCTCGAAAATGATAAAAATCTGGCTCTGGCAGACCTTGTGGTTCGGTCATGCCTGCAGGGAGCTGCACACCTATCTCTGACACGGGCTCAACCTGCACGTGCAAAAATGAAATTACCTCAGCAACCTGACCTCCGGGCAAAACGGCTTCAACCTCTTTCAAGTCAGCCCACGGCACGCAGTGCTCAAGCAGAAACCAAGTCCCACTGCGGCAAATGAGGGTGCTCCTGAGAGGCCAGCCGATTGGCGCCATGAAACTCGGATCGACAAACCTACTTGTGCGACCTCTCCACACCAGGTGACCAGACGAACTGACTTGCCATCCGAAATCGAGAGACTCAAGCGTCTTAGCCTCAAAACGCACCTGGATGGACGCAACTTGCACCTGGCTTGGGCACACCTCTTGGACCTCACCTGTGACCTGAAACTGAGAATGACTGCATGCGGCATCACAGACCTGTTGGCTGTCGGCATCACGGACCTGTTGGCTGTCGGCATCACGGACCTGTTGGCTGTCGGCATCACGAACCTGTTGGCTGTTGGCATCACGGACCTGTTGGCTGTCGGCATCACGGACCTGTTGGCTGTCGGCATCACGAACCTGTTGGCTGTTGGCATCACGGACCTGGCTGTTGGCATCACGGACCTGGCTGTTGGCATCACGGACCTCGCTCTCGCTCACTTCGTCCTCAGAGTGGTTGTTGACCTCACCTGCACCTGGATTGTAGTACATCAAGTCTTGGCCCTCATGCTCCACACGACGGATCTGAGCATTCACGGCCAATGAGTAGCCTTTGAACAGCAGGGGCACCTCGGCACCACTCCGTGGGTGGCGCAAGCACATAGGACCTGCGCCTGCATTGTCACCTTGACCTTGGCGAATAGGCCACCATCCCTTACGCATGAGTCGTCCAAGGCTTAACAGTGGTTGGGTGACCTTTGCCACAATGCAGCGTTCACGAATGACCACGGGCCGGGGCCCACCAAACAGCACAAACTCTATCAACCGTTCGGCCTGAATCTTCATCGCGCCTCCTTGGGCATCTTGAACCTGCAGCGGTCGTGCACGAGCGGCACGGCCACAAGACTGAAAAGTCTCAGGGATGCAAGAGATGTCGGCACCCGAGTCGATGATCACACACTGGCCTGCGTCAGTCACTGCTCGAACACACGCAGTAGCAGGACTCGGCGCCAAGTCAAGCGCAGCATAGTCATCAGGAGGCAGGGTCCACTGGTCATCATCATCCTGGGAATCCATTGCATAACTCTGTGGCGCAGTCACAGTGATCATACAGACATTGGGCTCATAAGGAAACGGATCCTCCAGGTCTGACATGTCGAAAACAAGTGGCTCAGCCGCAACACGGCGAACGGTGGACTGTCCTGCTTTGCCTTGCTGGGCTTGAAGGGCACTCGCAGAAGATGGGGCAGTCGTGCTAGTGCCGGCATCGAACGCTGCAGAAGAGTTGGCCTGAACCTGCCGGGCACCTTTCTGGTGGCCTTGCATGTAGGCCTTGAACTGAAAGCAGTCACGCTTGTAGTGCCCCGGCTTCTGGCACCAACTGCACACGGAGGGCCAATTGCCCTTTGCATTGCCACCTTTGTCCTTACCTCCCTTGCTCTTGCCCTTGTCGCCTTTGCCTGCATCGCCTTTGCTGCCTTTGTTGTGCTTGCCCTTGTCGTCTTTGCCTTTGTCGCCTTTGCCGCCTTTGGGCCTGCCCTTGCGGTCTTTGCCTTTATCACCTTTTGCATGCACACGGTCTATATCCATCGGCGCAACATCGCCGGTATCATGCAAGCCTTTCTTTCCATCACTCAGGCCGTAACTCGAAGCAACACTGGTTTGCCACTTCGTGTTAGCTCCATCCCAACGCAGCACAAGCTCACGCAAATCACTGTACGTGCTGTCGTCAGATATGACTACATTGGCATGCTGACGGAGCTGGCCTGTCAGGCAACTGAGGAGAGTGGCCATCTTGTTGTTCTCCGGGAGACCGCCTGGCTCGAGGCGCTCATACTCCTCAAAGGCGCTTTCAAGTCGCAGCAGCTGCTGGGCAAGTCCTTGTTGGGCCGCAAAAGACGGCCAGCTATTGATCGTACGCAGCAAAGCTAAAACTCGATTGCGGGTCTTTGGCATAAGATCTTTGCTGAGCAGTCTCCATGCCTCAAACCCGTTCTGCTCCTGAACAGATCGCAACAGTCGCCTGCCGCGTTCATACAGTAGGCCATTCAACATGCCGTACAGCAGCCGAGACCGCCGCTTGGCACCATCATCAAGAGAACTCAAGATCACTGCTGTCTGCTGCCGGCCATACTCACGAAGCTCGCTGCTGAACTCTGGTTCCAAGCACGATAAATACTGTTCAAACGTCCAGCTCCACTGAGGCCATTGCGCAAACTCCTCATCTCTCGTAGTGGGCCGGAACGGATCCGGCTTCGGTAGCACCTTGGTCAGATCTCCAACACCCATAGGTCGAGCACCTTGGGCCGTGCTTGCAAAAGCGGCGGCTTGAGCAGCCGCACTGGCAGCCTGTGTGGCCTCCGACATGCGTTGCATAAGAACTCTCAAGTCGGCAGCTGTCATAGCAATTTCACTTCCAGCATTGGTAGGGCTCGTTGGCTGAAAAGGGTTTGTAGGCGGTGGCTGCATGAAAGGCGCAGGACCCATTCCGTGCGCTGAGGCGGTGGCTCCAGGGGGGCCTGTAAGCTCCTCATCCGTCTCATCTCCAATATTCGCCATTGCTCTGTAAAGCAGGGCAATCAATCAATATCAATCACCTCCTTGCAACTGTTCAAACACAGATTGGCACCAAATGTGCGTCGGGGCTCGGGCCCTTGCAACTCGATCGGCTGATCCGGAGGGGCCTGCAGTTCGGAGAACGCGGCCTCACTCGAAGCAGCACCTGTTGAAAAACCAAAAGCTTCCAAATCTCGCTCAAACAACTCGCGCTCCTCTGTCGCAAAAACTGTGTCGTGTATCAAGGCTTCAGGGATTGCTTCGTCACACACGTCGTCAACTGCAAAGAACCGGAAAACTTGTTTAAGGTGGCTGTCCTTCAAACACCGGTGGGCAAAGTCCCACACTTGCTGAGTAGTCTCCAGAGAAGCCAAGTTCGCCTCCAGCGAACGTTGGGCGGTACTCAGGATATTCTGCCACCCTTCAGCAGATCTGCCAGCGGGGCGTTCGCGCTGTAGCAGCTGCTCAAGATGCAGTTCAGTAACTCTGGCCTTGATAGCCTCCAGAGAGGCCAAAGAGGCAGCCGTGCTGCCGAGAGGAAGCGCGGGCGGATCGGGGCCGCAGGTGACTACACACCTAGGCCCTCAACACCAAAAGTCAAAAGCGAAAAGTTCAAGCCCGATGGCCCCTGAACAGGACCCAAAGAAAGTTCACGTGTCTCGAAGCTGGGTCGGCCCAGCTCCGCTACCATGAAAACGTAATCGGACTTTTCCACAACTCAGAGCCTGGTACGTAGCGGAGTTCTGCAATTCACAATGTGCTCCATGAAATTGGGCTCATGCCAAAATCACGTGTTAACACATGTAAACTGTTCAAGCAACGTGTGTACAAAGGGCAGGGATGTAATGTTTCATCAGGGTGGCTTAAATGGGGGGCCGGTGCGTCCGTACCCCCCCGGTGAGATCCTAAAAGGGAGGCCGCTTGAGTTGTGTTGTAAAGAGAAGGGTGAGATAGTGCCTTCTTCAGTTCTTGCCTGTGCTCACTTTTGCGCGCAAGTGGCCCTGGGATCAGGTCTATCGTTGATCGTTTGGCATGGCCTGTAAAACTGTAGTGGCAGCATAGCATCCTGCTGTAAGTTACCACTACCCCAGCCGCCAGCTGTGCCTTGAGCCTGCTACTCACGGTGGTGATGTTAGCCTGTGCCTGGTTTGTTTCTAACGGCGCGTTGCGGGCGATTGTTATAGCCGAAACAAACCAAGTCTCCGTGATCCTTTACGTCGCATGTGTGCAAATGGCCTGCAAGCAACAGCTGCGACGGGATCCGGCACAGCGCTGTCATCTTAATATTCCCTGTGAGCATGGCGACCCACCTTGGCCGAGTGGGGTGGATTTCAGCAAATGGGGGAGGCCGCTAACCCATGATTAAGCTATATCTCTTTCTGCTGAGCACATGCTTTCTGTTCCCTTGGATCGACGACAGAGGCAGAGTGCCGAGGCAGACTGCCAGTCGAACCTCTTCGGGGTTGCCTTACTTAAGGAGTAAACCCCTGCCCCACCAGGGTTGCTCCCCACACCATTGGCCATGTGTGAGGCGTTCGGTTTGCCTGTGTCACAGCCTTGAGGCCAACCTATCCCAGGGGCAGGGGGTAGATGACAGCCGGGCACATGGGCTAATGCGCCGGCTGGGGCCTGACCTGGTGACATCGAAGCAGTCATGCAAGTCACCGGAAGCAATACCGGACAAAGAAGGAAGGCCGTTCTTGGGACATGGCTGTGTTGTTGAGCTGGTGTGTTCCTCCGTCTCATTCATAGTAGAATGTTGTTTTGTTAGCCAGTTGTTTAAGATTATAGTGAATTCTTTGTCACACCCACCTTACCAACAAGTCGCGGTGTGTCCAGTTTTGATTCACCAGCCGCGCTTGCATGCCGATGGCCGGGCATGGGGTCGCTCTGGCGGACCGCGGAAGAAGGAACCGATCGAGGACTTGGGGCCAACCACCAGAGCGGACACCTGGTGATGACAGCCAGTCACACATATGCCAACGTGCTGGCTGGGTCCGAGCTCGGCACCCGAGGGTCCACCTCAGCAACATGGGAGGCCAAATATCGAGCAGAAGTACAGTAATTAGAGTGTCAGTCGAACCTCCTCGGGGTTGCCTTACCTAAGGAGTAAACCCCTGCCCCATCGGGGTTGCTCCCCACACCATTGGCCATGTGTGAGGCGTTCGGTTTTGCCTTGAGGTAGATGACAGCCGGGCTTATGATGGGCTAATGCGCCGTGCTGGGGCAAAGGCTGGATTTTCTGCGACCTCGGATCGTGTTGTCCGGGCCAGACTTCCAGGTTCCGAACAAAGAAGGGAGGCCGTCCGTTCTTGGGACATGGTTGTCTTATTGAGCAGAGAACCTTGCTCGGCTTGCTGTTCGGTTGTGTTTGTCACGAGTGCCAACATGTTCAGAATGGGGTTTGGTGTATGTTGCTCTACCAAGCGGCAGCTGCATGCCCGCCAATTTTGGCAGCTACCGACACACTGTTGGCCGGGTGTGGAGCGAGGGCAAGGGCACTGGGGTCCCGCAGTCTAGGGGGGGGTTGGGGCCAACGGCCAGCGGGCATCTGGCTATGACATCTGGACACATGCGCTAACGTGCCAGGTGGCCCCTCCCGAAAATGACGTAGCCTCGGTGACCCAAGCTCTTCCATGGGAGGCCGAAGAATGGTGTTGCTTGCGCATAGTGTTGAAGTCCAAGTTGTACTTTTGTATCTCAACGATTGCAGCGAACGAATCGATCGCTCTTTGACTTGCCAGCTCAGGTGTGCCTGAGTCCAGCTGTGACGAGTGGCAGCTTCGAATCAATCGGTTGTACCAGGAGAGAGCTATCACTGCTATGCAGCACTGTCGACAAATCAACTTCATCGCCGATGGGTCTACTCACAGCACCAGCGATTGTCTTGTGACAGTGGCTTGGGCGAATGAGATTTCTGCTGCAGTGTTTGCACCCATGCAAGTGATGAAGACTGGACAAGTTTCTCCACAAGACCGGTTTGACGACGACCTGCTTCTTCACATATCAAAGCGAAAGAAGCTGGAAAGGATTGCTGCATTCAGGCAGCTTCAAGCGATCAGTCACCAAATCTGGATTTTGCACAGAGGGCGAATGGATTTGGGCTCTTTCAAGATCGCCCCCTCTCTTGGGCAGAGGCCTGTGAAAAGATATGAAAGCAGGGTGGTTTTCCAAGTTGGAAAAGAAGACAATGACATTGACCGCTGTTTTCAGTGGTTGAGGGACAATCCGGATCCGGCTGAAGGCAGAGTGCCAGAAGGCAGAGTGCCAGAAGGCAGAGTGCCACCAGCTTTTCCTCATGTCTCCTTTCTGAAGACAATGTCTGAGGATGGAGAGATCACAAATGTGCTCCCCGTCTTGCCAGAGTCAGAGAAGTGGTGGCTGAACATTCCACTGCTGGTCTTGGGCCTTGACCAGGGCAGCATCGGACTTGCTGGCATGGCCTATGCTATGCGTGAAAACATGATTCATGTGAAATGTGACAAGATTCACAGGGCCATTCGAGATTTCAAAAACAGCATGTCGAGATGCCTCAAAGGACTCTTCCTGAAAGCACAACTTCACTCCTCTTACATCTTTGCCCTGAATTATAAACCCTTTGGAAGTGGTGGTTTCTACCAGCAGAAGAAGGAAATGCTGGCGAGTTTTGTTTCCTGCACATCACCGAGCAGAAGCTTGTTGTGGGACGCTTTTCGAGATAAGATTGCCTATGACTTAGACAGGCAGCTATCCGGTGACGAGCATGAGATTGAACATATGCTTGCAAATGTCGAATCCTTCATGAAGAAGGGCAGCTTGGTGAAATCCTCCAGATGGTTCAGCTGGAACCAGCTATGTTGTGAGCAACTTCATGAGTTTCATGTCCTCAAAATGCTGCTGGCTGATCATTTCGGTGAAGATCAATCTTTCAGCCCTTGCTCAAGGGAAAGACTCAGCCTGTATTCCAACTCGGCGAATACACAATCGGGCAAGGAGCTCTTCGAAGGCAGAGTGCCAGAGTCCGAAGGCAGAGTGCCGGACTCTGACAATGGTGAGAGGCAGGAAGATGCACTGGGTGATTTGCAAAAGCTGTCACAGGCTGGTCGTGCCACTGATCCACGGAAAGAACTCAGCTTGTTGAAAGCCAGCATGGGGGGCTTCAAGTTGGCATACTATCTCATGACAGAAGACCTTTTCGATCACTCCAAGATATTGTACAAAGTGACCGAACCGTTGTGGACATGGTATGGGAAACAAGTAAAAAACGTTAAATCGCCGCAGGATGGTCGAGGTTATGCCGAGTTGATGACAGTGAATGATGCCTGGAAAGCAGACAAACATTTGTTGCAGATTGTCTCCAACCTGCAGAAGACCGAGTTGTGGAAGGAGCATCTGGATACTGATTTACACGAGCCCGCAGAAAAAATCATGATGTTGAGCTTGCATTTGCTGATGAACAGGGTCTGGACTTGCAGTCTTTTTTCACTTCCACCAGATGCCTATGCGGGATTGCTGTCACCTGATGCAGAAATTCGGACGATCACGGCTTTGAAGGCAAAGGGCCATCACACATCACTCTTGAGGTTGGAGTCGACATTGGCACGGTCCACTCCAAGTGTTCATGCCCGGCAACTCTTCACAGACCTGCAAGTTGGAATCAGCCATCCTTCGAGACTTTTTCTGGACACATTGGAGGCACAGGGATATGAAGTGGCGCCTCCGGGGTCAGAAGACATTGTCGTGGATGATGTTGACACAGAGCAGGACGGGGAGATGGAGGATTCTGTGCCTGAAGAAGCAGATGACGGTGCCGGAGTTGGTGACATTTTGTTAGACGGGCAAGAGGGCAGAGTGCCAGCTCAAAGGACTGTAACAATATCGGTACCAGCATGCCCTGCAACCCACCTGCTGAGTGTTCTGGTGCAGACGCTGCCAGACAACAAGATTGTGGAAGATGTGCACAACAAGATTCGTAATGATTCTTTGTTGAACAAAACCCGCAAGCAAACATACTCCACGATTCA